ACTCAATGGAGGTGAGAAAGTGTGTCTCTGGGTGAAACTCCGCCACTTGCTTCCTCTTTTCTTTGGATTATTCTTTCTGATGTCATTTTATAGTAAATAAAGAATGCCTATAGATCCGCCCTCCAAGCTTTCTTCTCTAAAGCCTGGCAGACATCCCTCCTCACCTGGTCTTCTCTTCTCTTTGGTCATGAGCTGTTGCACCTTCCTTTGCTCTTCTTGTTCTTCTATTTTAGCCTCTTTGTGAATCTGTTCAATAGTTTTAGGGCCTTGATCTGCTCTCCGAGATACCCAATTACACTATAAAAGTAGAAAATTAGGTCATCAGCCAGATGGAAACAACTAAATAATACTTATAAAATATCTTCAGGCTCTCGCACTATGGTAGTTTCTCATCTGTCTCATAGATAGTAAGTACTATGTGCAGTTTGTGGACCAGAGCTAAAGAATTAAATTTTTCTTAATCAACGAAACTGCTACAAACATTCCAATAGACAATCGAGAAAAAGAATAGAATACATAAAAGATTGGCCCAAATGTACTTTATTTTTCACATTTGAGAGGAGGAGACAAAAGAAGAAACAAGAAGATGAGGATTCCTTGGCCTTGCCTCCTTCCCACTGCCTTGCCTATAGATTCATATCACACTCATGGGGTTCTAACTCTAGGAGGATCAGCACTGCTCTTCCTTTCCTGTCATAGTTCTGGCATCCTACATCAAGGGTCATCAACACACACACACACACACACACACACACACACAAGCTGAGGACACTGATGACGACATCCACACACACACACACACTCACACTAGCTGAGGGCACTGAGGACAAAACTAGCTGGTTCTCCTTAGAATTACATTCTTCTTTCCTTTCCGACTTTCAGTTTCATTCAATATCTGCTATTAGTGCAAAGGAATTGAAAGGGTAGGTGAAATTTTCATATTCATTTATATTAGCTTAGAAGCAAAGATGGCAAACACATTTAGACTGACATGCAAATTCTCAACTGGTGGTGGCAATGGTCACAAGGAGGATCCTGAGCCCTATCCTTGATGCTATGTGGGTGCAGGAGAGGGAAAAGGGGCCGCTTGTTTTCACCTTTGCAAGTTTACAATTGACTAGAGTATACTCCCTGTAGCAGTTAAACCAAGAAAAAAGAAAATAGGGTGGTAAAAGTAAACATCGAACTTGGAATGAGAAACGAGGAAGGAGAAAGCAGAAGGGTCTATAGGAAAGACAATAGGGCAGAAAACGGAACCTCAGCATCTTCTCTCTGCTGGACAGGTCACAATTACATGATTATCTCCCTGCGTGGTTACAATGAATCTCAAGGTAGGTGAAAACCCAGGGAAACGTACTCACTGTGAAAAGCTATCAAGAGGCTTTCAGATTACTTAGGTGAGTTCAAGTACAATAACTAAATGTGATTGACAAAAATTTGACTTCACAATGGAAAATTTGAAAACTGCAGTATGGTTTGATAACTGGAGTAAAGAGAACAAATACGTAACACGCAGGTATGCATGTCTTTAACCCTGCAACATCACTCCCTCACAGAAATATGCCAATTTGAGTTCTGAAGTAAAAGCATTAAGTTCTTACAGAACTCCCTTCTTCAACCCAATTTTTAAAACAATATTGAACCAATAGGTTTAAATGTTTTTTTCTACTTACCAGCCTTAAGTCTATCACATCTTGAAGCATAAATCGAATTCTAGATGATGTTTTTCTTTCTTTCACAATTTTCTCCATCTGATTAAAATACTGGTCCATACGAGGCTATAAGAGAGAAAACCATAAGCTATTCTGGCAGAGGAATTCAAATGAAACCTTTACCGTGTAGAATTTTTAGACGGCTTAGGAATAGCAATTTTAAAAGGCATCGTGATATGATTTTTAATTGAGCACGTGATGCTCCAAAATAAAGACTATTTTCTTGACTCCCTAGCAGCTGGCTGTGCTCATGGAACTAAGCTCAGCTGACAGAAGGTAGTGAAAACGTCCTATGGAAGTTCCCAGAAAAGTTATTTTAGACAGAAGTGGCAGGGTCCTTTATCCCCTTTACCACTTTTGAGCGAGATAATCACAACCTTAATGATGTACAGATGGAAGACACAGAAATCAAATCGACTACATCTGTGGGAAGAGATGATGGAGAAGCTCAATGTCAGCAGCTAAATCCAGGTCGGGGGCTGACTGTGGAACAGGCCATCATATGTAAGTTCAGGTTGAAGTTGAAGAAAATTAAAACAAGTTGAGAGCCAAAATATGAACTTGAGTACATCCCACCTGGATTTTCAGAATATCGTAAGAACAGATTTGATGCAATTAACACTAATGACTGAAGACCCGATGACTTGTGCAATGACATCAAGAATCTCATGTATGAAGAAGGTACAAGTCACTAAAAAGACAGGATAGAAACAAAAGATCAAAGTAGATGTAAGAGGAGGCTCTGAAACTTGCCCTTAATCATAGTGTGAAGGCAAATGGAAGAAATGAGGACATCAAAGAGCTGGAAAGAACATTCCAAAGGGCAGCTCGAGAAGACAAAGTCAAACATGATACTGAAATGTGCAAAGACTCCGAGGTAGAAAACCACGAAGGAAGAACACACTCAGGTACCTGAAACGGAGAGAACTCAAGTCTCAAAAGAACATGAAAAGAATACACAAAGAAAAATAAATTACTAGCTGCCACTAACCATTTCTAGAGGTAGCACATAAGCAAGAACCAATGATAGTATGATAACAACGGACAAGTCCAAGGTGAAGTGAAAACATTAGCCAAAAACAAGACTTCAGGAATTGATGGAACACCCATTGAAATGTTTCAACAAGCTCATGAAGCACTGGAAGCATTTGTTTATGCTAAGAAATTTGGAAGACAGCTACTCGGTCAACTGACTGGAAGAGATTCGATTCCTACTTATAACCATTCCAAAGAAAGGTAACCCAACAGAAGGCATAAATTATAGAACACCACTGATATCACATTCAAGTACAATTTTGCTGAAGATCATCTAACAATGTCGCAGCAATACATTGACAAAGAGCTGCCAGGAATTCAAGGTGGATTCAGAATAGAACATGGAGAAACATTATGGTTGATGTCAGATGGATCTTGGCTCAAAACAGAGAATGCCAGAAAGATGTTTACTTGTGTTTTATTGACCATGTAAATGCATTGGCTGTAGGGATCATAACAGACTATGGATAGCCTACACGGCACTGTGTTCATGCAGAACCTGTTTATCGATCCAGAGGCGGCTGTGTGAACAGATCAAAGACATGCTGAATGCTTTAAAATCGAGAAAGGTGTGAATCAGGGTTGCATCCTCTCACCATACTGTTTTAATCTGTATGCTGAGCAGATAATCAGAGAAGTCAGATTATATGAATAATGCAGCATCAACATTAGACTTATTAACTATCTTCCATATGCAGATAACACAACCTAGCTGAAAGTGAGGACCTGAAGTCTTGCTGATGGACGATCAAGGATTGAAGTCTTCAGTATAGATTAAATTTCCATGTAAAGAAGGTCAAAATTCTTACATCTGGACCAATAGGTAACATTGTGATAAATGGGGAAAAGGCTGAAATTGTCAAGGATTTCATCTTTCTAGGATCCACAATTAATGTTCATGGAAACAGTAGTTAAGTGATCCAACAACCCATGAGATTGGGTAGACCTGATACACAAGACCCACGTGTAAGTGTTGCAAAGCAAAATGTTACTTTAAGGACTAAGATGCCCTTGAGCCAAGTCATGCTATTTTCAATACTTCATATGCACGTGAAAGTTGGACACCCGGAATAAGGAAAACTGAAGAAGAATCAACATGCTTGAACGATGGTGCTGGTGAAGAATACTGAAAGTACACAGACTTCCAAAAGAACAAACAAATCTGCCTTGGAAGACATACAGCCAGAGTGCTCCTTAGATGACAGGGTGGTGTTTCATTGCATTGTACAAAGAGCTGCTATAGGTCAGAATTGACTTAGTACCCTAACAAATGATGGTAGAGTATTAAGCTGCAAGGATCTGGTTCCTTAATATCTAAACCACCATACCAGTTTGAGACTTACTGCCTCCAGACTTTTGTTTACATGAGAAAGAAAGCAACTTCTATCTCATATAAGCCACTGGTACTTGGGGTTTCCTGTTATAGTCAACGTCAAACTAGCACACTCAGATGTTAAGGAACATTTCTGAGATCATTTCTTTGAAGCGTTTCTGATTCCCTCACATCTTATTTTGGCATAACCATATTATGGTTGACTTACAATAGTTGTTTTGTTTTGTTTTTTTAAAAACAATTTAGCATATTAAACTTTAGTTATTTCATTAACTAGTGCATAAACTTTGTAAGAAAGCTATTGGGGCCACCTTTATGTCTGCATCGCGCTCAGGCTTGGCACAGCTTTGCTCCCTTGATTTCTGCCCACAATTTGCAATATACAAATGACCTGTAAGATGTTATGGCAGAAGAAACATGATGAGTGCTAAATCATCTGAACAACCCACAACTTGGCTTTCATATAATTTGGGATCCTTTCTCACCTCTGCCTTTAACAGAAAGGTGGTAAGAAGCATTATGGCCAAACACTGACAGTGAGATGGGGAAAGGAAGTAAAGCACACAGCGTAGATGGGCGGGACAGGACAGATGCTCTTGTTGATAGTCTGAGTCCCTTTTCAACAGACCACATGCCCTGCTGATGGAGTGGAAGCTTTTGGATTTTTACCTTTGCTTTCTCGAAGTCCAGGTCTTTACCAATGGTGGTGAGCAGGCGACACAGGCACTCCAGGGATTCTTCATCGTGGTTCTTGAGCAGCTTCACCACACAGTCGTGCATGATGGCTTCCGTCAGCATTTTGAGTTTAAAGAGTTCCCCAATAAACTTGATGTTACCGATGGATCTCCTCCGGGCTTTGTCCTTGGCTTCTTCCAGTTCATCATGAAGTCGTGTCTTCTCCTCTGGCTGAGGTGGACAGAGGAAAACCAGGATCTTGATGACGAGGAAAGTTGTGCTGCCTGCCCAATGGATGCTGAGGACATATACTGACCCTTATGACCCTTTCCCTCTCTAGCTCACTAATGAGCTAGGTAGTTTTAAAGGGACTCAGGGACTCTCTGACCACAACCCTTTCTAGGGGTCAGATAATCCCTTTAAGAAAGTATGAACTTGAGAATGATGATTGGAACAAATGTACAAATGTGCTTGACACAATGGATGGATGGATTGTGGTAAGAGTTGTATGAGCCCCCAATAAAATGATTAAAAAAAAAAAAGTATGAACTACACCTAAATGTTTACATCCATTTTGAGAGATTTCTAGAGCATAGTAACCTCCTAAATCCTTGGTGTTGAGGGTTAAGTTGCTTTCAAATGCAGTACCAATTCTCCTAAAGGGTATGAAGAACTCCCCTAAATATCAATGTTGTGTCTCTACACACAGAAAAAGAGGCCTTTTGTAAGTAGTAAAGGTTGCTGTAGCTGGCTGGCTTCATGAGACTCTACTTGGTAACACTAAAGTGCGCAAGCACTTTCTCTGAAAATACTCACAGCACTGGCAGCCTCCAGTTCTTTCTGCTTCTTCTCAAAGACATCATCATCTGCTTTATCTTTTTCAAACTCCTTCTGACAACGGTTCAGTAGCAGCTTGCGGAAATTCACCGTGTTACCAGGCTTGTCTGCCATAGGCACTTTCAGCTGCACCCAGATGGGAGAACACAAAAGTAGAAAGATTACTTAAAGACAAAGATTCTTCTCAAAATACCTATTCTCTGTATTATGCACAAAAAATGCTGACGGAACTACAGGGAGGCATTTTGCACGAGGTACAGAGTTTAGTTCCAAGCACTTCACGACTCAGTAACAAAATCTGTCTTGGACCTTAGCCAGCAAAGAGACACATTCCCTCATATGCATGTACGGTGCCTGTCAGGCCACCCTGAAGCCCAGGTGACACCATTTTAATTATGATTCTACATTTTAAACTGTAGGGTTATTTCCTCTGGTTTTGTTTTTTTCTGATCACCATTAAAAGTACTTAGGTTTAAAGAAACAAGTAGAAATGCCATAAGGCCAGGGCAAATTTCATGGCTCTTAAACTCTCATGAGACTTCATCCGAGGTGAAAGAGAAAGGCAGACGTTTGAGGATTTTCTGAGATAACTTTTCCTCAGGACACCATCATATACGCTGTAATGCCCATGCCCACCTGACAATCAGTGTCATATGTTTACTATTTCTTCTGTGCAAAACAAAAGCTAACCTAGCCTTTCAAAAATCCAGCCTATCCTTTTGATATACAAAAGACTCTGAGTGGAGGTGGAAAGGTCACTTGGAGGCAAGATGCTTACAAAATTTCCATCCAAATCCAACAATGATTACTTTCTGGTAACTGCAATAGCCCATACAACCACTCACAGAGAGATTTTTATGAATGGTTAAAATATTAGAAAAGCAGATTGAAGGAGCGTTTCTACCTGACCAAAATATTATTTTACAAATAAAATACTCCCAGAGCTACATAACATGGCAAATTGCTTTTTCTAAAATCACGAAGTGAGTCCACAAACTCTGAAAAATATGCATGGTCTTTGCTTAATGGGCGAACAGGATTCCATGTACTTAGACACACACAATATATAATACTCTGTAATGCTTATTTTGTTCTGGGTATGTTTTATACCTCAATATGAAGAACTCAAAAATCCTTCCAAATGGGCCAATAAACATCACCATGATAAGTGAAAAAAATAATAAAATTGTCAAGGATTTCACTTTACTTGCATTTACAATCAATACCCATGGAAGCCAACCAAAAAATATATTGCATTGGGCAAATGGGCTGAAAAATACCTCTTTAAGGTGTTAAAAAAACAAATATGTCACTCTGAGGGCTAAGGCATATGAGTAAAGAACAAGGAGACCAGATTTAAAGCGGGACACCACTGACCGGGGGAGGGGGAGTTCCTTGATTAAAAATTTGGTATATATGGACCAAATAGACCGTTCCCTAGCTTGTTGTGCATTCTATCCAAAAATCGGGACTTTTTTAAAACGCCAAAAATCGGGACTGTCCCGCCAAAAGCGGAATGTCTGGTCACCTTAGTAAAGAAGGCCAAAGAAGAACTGATGTCTGTAGGCTAAGATGCTGGCGAAGAATACTGAATATATATAGACAGCGAGGGTAAATCTGTCTTTGAAGAAGTACAGCTAGAAAAAATAAATAAATAAGTACAGCCAGAATACTTCAGCCATGTCACCTGGAAGGCAGAGTCTCTGGAGAAAGACATCATGCATGGAGTGGTAGTTACATAATTTCATGTCAACTTGAGATATTAAGTGTGTGGGTGGAGTCTAGCCTGTCAATCAGGTCACAGCCTGATGATGCCTCTTTGTAGGCATGGCATTCTCATGAGGATTCAGGGAACTTCCTCTCTCTCGGCTTCACCTTCCTGCTGGCAAACCACCTGGAGATCTGAAGAGGACTTGACTGATCTCCGGGGATGCATCCACCAACATTTGATTCCCAAGGCTTTGCACCCACTGGCCTGTGACCTCCCTGCATTCTCCATCATTGCATGTACCTGTGCGAGTCTGAAGAGGAATTTATGAACTAGTATCGGACTTATAGGCTAATATTGGACTTATGGACTTGATGTGGACCGGGTTGTGATGTGTTCTTGATATCCGATTACTCCTTGATATAAAGCTGTCTTTCATATGAGTGTCATTGACTTTGTTTCTTTCATCAGCTTGGCCTAACACACCTGGTAAAGTAGGTTAGTACCAGAGGAGGAAGACCTTCAGTGAGATGGACTGACACTGCGGTTTCAACAATGGGCTCACACACAGCAATGATGATAAGGATGGAACAAGTCTTGGCAGCGCTTAGTTCTACTGCACATAGGGTTGCTAAGAGTCAGAACCAACACAACAACACCTATCAGCTTGTGAACTGATGCCACCATTTAACATATCCAGCTTTAATCAACTAAGGGGCCAAGGGTTACATTACATATTTTCTATCTGCAAGAACTATTAACTGAGGAAGAAGGAAATACCATCAAATACTTTTTAAAGCAAGTCATAGAAAAGCTGACTTACCAAAAAAAAAAAAAAAGCTGACTTATCTTGATCTTTAAATTCAGGTAGCAAAAAACGAAAGACACAGTAAGTCATTTCATAGTCAGACCTACCTTATGGACACACAAAAGGGCCCAAGGAGTCTATAAGCCTTCAAAGGATGAAATAATCAACACAATCAAAGGTTCTCAAAAGCAACAGTCCAAGGCAGACTCCATGTTAGCGGAGTGCACGTGGCACTGTGGTTGTGTTGGGCTGCTATTCACAAGGTCGGCAGTTAGAAAGCACCAGCCACTCGGCAGGAGAAAGCTGAGGGGTTGTACTCTCACAGAGTTGCAGTCTTGGAAACCCTCAAGGGCGGTGCTTTTCTGTCCTATAGGGTTACTGTGGGTCAAGGTCAACTCAATGGTGAGTGAGTGATGTTCTACTTACATAGAACACAGGACCAAGTAGTGTACCGTGAGTAGGCTGTCTATCATAAAGGAACACCAACATAACTTCAGGCTCCAGAACAAACCAAAGATTCTTCAAATTAGCTGCTACCCTCCGTCAATTTCTTTATAGTAACACGAGTAAACCAAGCAAAACGTCCTATCTACCTTCTTGGCACAGTCACCATCATCATCTACATCAACATTAAGAAAATAACTGATAAAAATAGACCATACTGTAGCACATCTGCTCTACGGAGATGTTTCCTGCCCTACAGATGTACAGAAAACGGGAGGGCTGGGGCAACAATATGAAAACCCAAGCCACAGCCATATAGCGAGAGAAACCCAAGTTAAAATGAGTTGTTGTTATTGTTGTTTAAATGCCAGAAAGATAAAATAAATATAACTTTATATCATATGTATATTGAAAGAGTTACATTAAGGCTCAGTTTGCTTGCTTGTCATATAAACAAAGGCAAGTCTTTTAACTCAAATTTCAGTTTCATCATTTAAAACAGAATTGTAAAGGGGTATTATACACATGTCTAACTCTGAACATCCAACAAAATAGCGTTTGGTGAGAGCACTTTATAACTGCCACTGACAAGGAAAGCTGTACCTGAGTCTGAATTACAAAATCAGGATTCAAACAGCAGGTCAATAACTAATCAGTTATGTAAATTTAAATCAACTTATTGAGCCAGTGGCCCTCATCTGTAGAAGTGATATTTCAAATGAGTGCAGCTTGAGGCACAATATAAAATAGCTTTTGAAACAAGAAAATTGGAATGAGTGAACTCCAACCCCACCATGTGATTTTGACCAAATTACTCAGCTTCACCAATCCTCCATCTCTTTCCAAAAAGAGCGTCAAAGCATCACTTAGGATTGCTGGGAGGATTAGCAAGCAAAAAATAGTGATTGACACATGGTAAGGACCCAAATTAATACTCATGTTTAAACATCTGGAGCTGTGTCTGACAGCAATAACTGAAAATTGAGAGTAATCCACATTGTAATAACAGAGTCATCAGAGAACATGTGTAAGCCAAGCTAGCTAGAAAAAGAGCACAAAGAGTAGTAGACAGAAGCACCTGTTCCTCTAAGATGAGGGTCAGTGGAAATTTCACATAAATCGATGTGATCGTGTATCAGCAGTTTAGATAGATGTATATGAAAATATTAAAACAGAATAATCAGCAGAAAGGCCACAGATCTATGAAGACTATGTGTATTTCTGAATGACCAAATGCCTAGTTAGACAGCCCACCAAATACTTTTTTAAAAAGATGATCTTGTTCTCCCCTGGGCATGGGCGACAGCTTTCCAGTCTAGGTTTGATGTGGACAGTTCAGATTAGAGAACAATGGTAACAAGTTGGTCACATCTAGTATCGCGAGCTCCTCTGGTGACAGAACAGAATCAGCAAGGGTAGTGATTATGAGGTCTGGGGCTAGGCAAATTAAGGAAGGCTAGAGTCATAGTTACAGTGTTAACTAGTTGTGTCCTGGGCAAACTGCATAACTTCTCTGTGCCTTAGTTTCCTATTTGTTTAGAAGAGATAATAAAATAATTGTGAAGACTGAATGATTTAGATAGATGTAGATACCTCAGAAAACATTACTACGATGGTTTCCACAGTAGTGAAAATCTTATTCTTAGTACTTCTTCTACTTATAACTACATTATATGACTGTGTGGTTAACCATAATTCGATTCTATTATTTGAAATGACCAACTATTAATCTATGAAAACAGAATATTTTCTTTTTGGCTATAAATCAAGCCAAAGACCTTAGAATTTAACATGTCATGGAAGGAGCCCTGGCGGAGTAGAGGTTCCAAGTTGGGCTGCTAACCTTAGGGTCAGCAGTTCAAAACCACCAGCTGCTTTGTGGAAGAAGTTACTGAAGTCTCAGAGACCCCAAGGGGCAGATCTACAGGGTTCTTGGAGGGTCACGCTGGGTCAGCATCGACATGATGCCAGCGAGTGAGTTTTGAGTAATGCTAATAATCATGAAGCTAATAACTTAAGGAGCTCAACAAATAGGGAAAGAGTATCTCCCCCTCAGGTAATGATTTGATTATTTACTGACTGTCTTCAATTTCCCCCATTCCACATGGAGATAGCATTTCCCAACTAACAACTATTTCCAAAAAAACAAAAACAAACCAGTTCCCA